GCAATTTTTTAAAAATAGATTTTATCAAGATTTTTTATTCATTAAGTTATCTTAATTGGAGGATAATTAATTCACAATATTGTGATTTTTTTTGCCATATATTGACATGAATCAGCCACAGGTATACATGTATCCCCCCATCCTGAACCTCTTCCCTTCCATTCTATTCCTCTAGGTTGTCCCAGAGCACCAGCTTTGGGTGCCTGCTTCATGCATCTATTTTACTTATGGCAATGTACATGTTTCAGTGCAATTCTCTCAAATCATCCCACCCTCACTTTCTCCCACTGAGTCCAAAAGTCTGTTCTTTACACCTGTGTTTCCTTACTGCCCTGCAGGTAGGATTGTTGGCACCATCTTTCTAAATTCCATATATATGCGTTAATATGCAGTATTTGTCTTTCTCTTTCTGACTTACTTCACTCTGTATAGTATACAGGGATGATCATAAATCAATAAAGCAATTTTATTTCTTCCTTTTCAATCTAAATGTCTTTTATCTCTTTTGCTTGCCTGCTTACACTGCCAGAACCTCCAGTATAGTGCTGACTAGACATCATGAGAGCAGACATCCTTGTCTTGTTCTTGAATCATAGGGGAAATGCATTCAGTCATTACCACTAAGTATTACATTAGCTCTAGGTTTTCTGTAGGTGTTTCTATCAGATTGAATAAGTACCTTTATGGCTGTAGTTTTCTGAGTTTTTTAAAAATTAGAAATAGATGTGAGCTTAAAAAATAGTGAAAAGTGTTTCATCTTATTCCATTCTGGCTGTCACCTTGCTTGCTCAAAAGAAATTGAATTATATCATCAGTAAATAAGGCAAATACATCTGACATGCATATAGTCATATGCAACATTCATCTGTAGCTAGCCATGTCTTTGTTGATCCAATTAATCATTTGAGTTGCATATTCTAAAGTTAGTCATTAAAATCATATCATGTTATGCACATTATTTAAAACTAAGAAGAGAAAAATGAGAAGAATTTAGCCTCTGAAACTATAGCTGAATTGTCTTTTGGACTAATTATCCATAATTCTTGTAAGATTTGGCATTCCAGGACCCTGTGAATATAAAATGTGATCATCTTATGACAAAAAGTGATAAATCAATGAGTCAAAAGCACAATTACTTTAATAAGGGCAGGTACTCTTAATGGACAAGTAAATGCCAAATTGATTAGAGAATTTCAGTGGAAAATGGTGGCATAAATAAAAACGAGAGGAAGCCTTTTGGTGGACCAACACCTGATGAAGGGGATGTATAAAGAGCCCCAAAGTGAGAGGAGACATTTCATCCTAGATATTTCATCTTTCACTCCAAGAAACCAAAAGCAAACCAGGTTCCCAATGCCATGGCTTGCTGTGCTTCCCTCTGCTGCAGTGTTCCCACCAGCCCCGCCACTACCATCTGCTCCTCTGACAAATTCTGGGCATGAGTTTGCCTGCCCAGCACCTGCTCACATATGGTTTGGTTACTGGACACAACCTGCTGTGACAGCTGCCCAAACCCTGCCACATTCCTCAACCCTATGTGTCCACCTGCTTCATGCTCAACTCTACCCAGCCCACCCCAGACCTGGAAACCATCAACCTCACAACCTTCACTCAGTCCACCTGTGAGCCCTGTGTCCCAAGCTGCTGCTAACTGATGTTTGACTCACTCAGTGCCTGGTAATAACACAGAAGCTATCTATTTGGCATGCATTTGCTCAATATTTTATCACATATTGAGGTAGACCCGATGGCATAGATATGAAAAGCCTACTTTTTACCTTAATGGAAAGAAAATAAATAAATTTTTATGGCTATTTGGCTGAGTAACAATTTGGTTCATTTGGGCAGGTGAATATCATCTGTTATCAAAATAGTATTAAAGTCTATAAGACCTCAGACTCTATTTTATTGGTCATATTGCTTCCTGGATCCCATTTATTGTATTGAGCATTTTCATAGAGGAAAAATAATTTCTTGATGGATTTTCCAATAAGTTATTTCTGTGGCAAAAAAGAGAAATAGATGTGAAATTTTGTTGAGTGCTTTTTCTGTATCTTTGGAAGTAATTATTTAGTTTTTTATATTTAATCTTTTACATTTGAAAGTTTATAACTATGTTCATTTGCATTGATTTTTAAAATGTTAAACCAACCTTGCTTTCCTTGTAAACCCAAATTGACATAATGTATTTTCCCTTTCATACATGATTGGCTTTGATTTGCTACATTTAAAAAAAAATTGTTTATTTGGCTACACTGGATCTTAGTTGCTGCACATGAAATCTTTGCTGTGTCACGTGGGATCTTTTGTTGAGACACACAGATTCTCCAGTTGTGGCACACAGGTTCTGGAGCATCCTGGACTCAGTAGTTGCAGTACCTGAGCTTAGTTGCTCTGTGACATGTGGGCTCATAGTTTCTCAACCAGCAATCAAATCCTTATCCCCTGCATTACAAGGCAGATTCTTAGCCATTGGACCACCACGTAAGTCCCTGATTTGCTAAAATTTTATTTAGAATTTTCGCATTCATACTAATGCAGAATGTTGGTTTAGTTTTACTTTCTTGTAATATTCTTATCTGATTTTGGAATTAGGGTAGCGGGCCTGATAGAATAGGTTAGGATATACTCCTTTGTGTTTAATTTTCTGGAGTTTCCTTTGTGGGAATGGTTTTAACCACAAATTGAATTTCTTTGCATGGAAGTGCCTTGACCAACTTTCATGACAGTGGGATTGCTTTCAAGATTTAAATTAAACAGTAAGCTAATGCAGAAACAAGTCATCACATTGTGTAATTCTGAGCAAACTGCAGAGAATCAAAGTCTCTGAACCTACTCAGAATACTGAGTTTTATATTGACTATATTGCTTTTATTTATTTTATTTCTATCAGGTTATCTCTTTATTTTTAAATGACTTTGGCGGCTTGTGAATTTTAAGGAATTTATTCATTTCAGTTATCAAATTTATTAACAGAAAGTTGTTCACAGTTTCCCTTCGAATTCTTTTTAATATATGTGGAATGTGATGATGTCACTTCTCTCATCTTTGATACTGGCAATTTATGTCTTTTCTTTTAGTTGGATAATTAAAGAAAAATACCTTATTTTGTTGTTTTAGTGGTTACTTTGGGTTTCTGGTATACTTGTCATGGTCTACTTTCAAGTGATGTTAGACCACCACATATATAATATAAGAAAGCCACAGTAGTATGCTTTTATTCCTCCCCTCCTATGCTTTATAGATTTGTCACCATACAGTTTCTAATGCTTACTACAAATCTCAAAATCTGTAGTTTTCATTTTTATAGAAGCAAATATCTTTTAAAAGGGTTTAAACAATAAGAAGAAACCATATATTTTCACTCATGCAGACACAATTTCTGGTGCTTTGTTCCTTTATCCTATTTTTATCTGATTTGATCACCTATCTGCTTGCAGAGACACCCCTTAACATTTCTTGATGTATGAGTCTACTGGTGGGCTTCCGTATTGGTTCAGATGGTAAAAAATCCACCTGCAATGGGGGGGACCTGGGTTCGAGGTCTACTTATAAGAAATTCTTTGAGCCTTTGGAAGTTTGAAATACATTGAATTTTGCTTTTTAAAATTAAAGCTTTTCTTTCCCCCAAACTGATGCAAAATACTTATTCCAAATTAGTTATTTTATGCAGTAGTTTCCCCCCTCAACAGACCTGTGATAACCACATCTTTAAAATCTGTAAATAATGTTATCAAAGTAATCTTAATTTTTGAAATCTCACAAAAATTTATATTCTACAATCTACCCTGAATATCAAGGCTGCAAGAATAACACAACACTTCCTATATCCAAATATTTTACAGTTGTACCTAGAAAGAAAAAAAAAAGGGAAAAAAACACATATGCTTGGTTAAGGGCTAACCTTACCTGAGCAGCCAGAAATAAAATAAAATATCCATGTTGATGATGTATTCTTGTTGGACCTGAATTTGCATGATCTAACTCAAATATTCGTCACTATCACTGAGACAACAATGGGTTAACAATGTATTTGTTTTGATATAAAACAATGTTGCCTTGCACATAAGTGAATAGGGAGGAGAAGGGAAAGTGAGGTTAGCAAAATTTAGATCTAACAGTTATTTTTTCATGGCATTTGTACTAGATGGACAAATCAGTGTCATGAGCTTCTCAAACTAAGAGGGACTCTTAACACCTTTTCTATCCTATATAGCAAAAGGCATCTGCGTCTAGCTTTAAGCAGCAGAGGTTATGTTGAAGCTTCAACATCTTTCCTGTTTAGATATGGTGGCATACTTTTCTGCTGTTCTAAGTTTCCTCCAAAGCCTGTAATATCTGTAATAGTTTCTCTGAATGTTACTAGCCTAGCATTTACAGAAATTGGTCATTTTATGAAGTGTCTACCTTTGGAGCAATATGCAGTGGCAGGAAAGTTTCTTTTATTGGTGTACGCTTTGGAAGCAGTCCATTACCTCTTCTCCTAAACATGTGGCATTTGCAAAATCAGTGTGCCCTCATAACATTTTTTTTCCCTTAAAAAATATCCAAATTATTAGCATTAATTTAATACAGTTATAACTTCAGCAGTCACTTCGTCATTGACAGTGGTTGCTTGAGCACAGGGGTGAGTGCCCCAAGGGCTGGTAGTAGAAGCTGCTGTGCAGACCAGCGTCTCCTCTCTGCACTGCCAGCGCCCACCTGTGCATCGCCCCATATATACTGTGTGTATGTGTGTGTGTTTTAAAAATCTTTCCCACCACACAAAGTTCTATTAAGCAGATAACAGGGAAGAACAACAACAAAAGCTAAACAAGCCAATTGCTCACTCTCTCTTTGGGATATGGTTATTTTTCCTGTGCATGAAGTGTTCAACAATAACATAAGAGAAGGAAAAGGAAAAGAACAATTTCCTCTGTATAATCCGTAAACATGCAAGCTGAGTTTACTGGGTCAGATTTAACTGTGAGCATTTATACACCTACTCCCAGGCATTGTCATCAGATGACGTCTCTGCTACTTGCCTCTGTGTCTGAGTCCTCCAACTCTGCTCTGCACGTGCTCCTCCAAGAGGAGAATAGGTTGGAACTTCGACTCTGCAAGAAGTCATTCTTCCCAAAGCCGTTTCTTATCAGCTGCTCTGTCTTCATGTGGAACTCTCTGAGCTCATCCTCTGTGAGGGGAAGGAAATTCTCATCATTTTCAGGATACTCCTGCCATCCTATTGCTTTCAGTAACCTGCGCTCTGCTTCCAAAGAGTGAGAGAGGAGCCCCCCACCTTCCTCTTCTACAGGGAGAGCAAGCCAATTCTGATGACAGCCTTCCTGTCTGTTTTCCTTTGGTTCAGATGTGCTATTGTCCTCCGAATCTTCCAACTTCGCACACTCGCTGCCCTCTGAGAAGTCCCCATTCCGGTCATCCTTCAGAGTCTTCAGGAACTCGTTCTTCCTGTCAGTAGTTCAGCGGGTCAACTTGGTCAGACGAGAGGAGCTGATCTCAATTGGAGGAGTGGTGCTGGTGGGGTCCTCTTTGGGAGAGCTTAAAACTACACCACCAGCCAGTACTACTGGTTTGATAACAGATTGGACTGGTAAAAGCAGACTCTTGGCTAGAGGAAAGGGATCCTGACTTGTGTTCCACTCTGTTAGCTTTCCAAGCACCGGCCTTGGATAGTGGTGGTACATGCTTAGGAACAGGTTCTTATAGACACTTGAAACCATGGTTGACAGTTTGTTTCCATTTGCATGATGAGATCCTGGTGAATGCAGCAGAGAAGGCAGCAGCAGGATCTTCTTTGGAAACTTTTTTGGTGATTAGCATTTTGGAGGGTTGCTTGGCACTAGGTGGATTTTCTCCACACTCCAGAAGGGGTCCCAATAGGTCAGCATGGCTGATTCTGTTTGCCAGCTTCTGGATTCAAAGAAGGGAAGTCTTCCTCTTCAAATTGCAACTTTTCCACCTTATCTTCTTTCTTCTCTTCTCTAATATCTGTAGATGGCTTTTCCTGAAAGGCACAGCCTTTCTGGGAGTGGAAGCTGCCATTCCAGTGGTGATGGTTTCCTGTGCCATGCTCATTATGCTGGCTCATGCCATCATGACTTTGTGAAGAGCCATGCCAACCAGACAGGCTCCCTGTGAGACACCAGAGTCCACCGAATTATGGTGGAACAGGGAGGGCTGGTGCCAAGAATCGCCTGTCATTCAAAGAGGTCCATTGCTGAAAAGCCATCAGAGAAATTATGTCTATGACAGCTTATTCCAAATCTACCATCTCCTCGGGGTAGGTACTCTCTGTGTTTTTCGAAAGTTGCTGTAGGGGACTTAGCTGACTGTGGTGTTGAGAAATTTAGCCAAGCAGGAACAAAGTCATGCTACACTATTTAAATCCAGTGTCTCTTTTCAACAAGGTGAGGCCTCCAACCTCATGGCCAGCATCCCAGAGTATAATCTCTGTGGTCCTGCTTCCTGAACTTCTTTGAGTTGCCAGCTGGATTTCCATGAGGTTCTCTTGTTAAGAGGGTACTTAATTAGGCTGGTCAGCAGAACGCCTTACGATGAAGCACAAAGAAGCCAGGCTCTGTGTGGATCAATCTCTCAGTCCTCTCAACTGCTCATCTTAAACTATCTAGTTCCTGACATGTTTCCCAAAGGGGAAGGGAAAAGGGGAGAGAGAGGGGAACATACAAAGTATTTGTTACATTTAAAAAATGGGGGGAAAAATGGGGGGAAGGGAAAAGAGCTATATTAATGTTCAGCTCTTTCAACTTCCTTGAGTGATGGCAGTATTATGTTGCTTAGATAGATAATACATAGACATTTGCACAGTGAATGCAAATATTGTTCATAGCAAGGTCATAGCTTAGAAAGACAGAATGACTTCTTTTTGGTCAAATAATGTCATTGAAGTGATAGATCAAAAATAAAACATTGAAGAGCTATAAACGATCTTCTGAGTAGTCAACTCTAGTAGCAAAACATCCATCCACATTACAAAGCTCTTAATTTACAAATCTCATTATTCTTACATGGCTGCTAAAAATAGTCTGCAGGTATGAGTTTATATCCTTCAAAATCTAAGGACATAAGAAACCTTGTTAAAAAAAAATAGATAGGAACTTGATATGATTTCCTCCAAGAATAGCAGCTTTCAAGGAAAATTTCTTGATATAAAGCTCCCAAATGTTTCTTCACTATTTATAAATTCACAGCAAAATGAAAACAAGTAGAACGGCAGAGCTTAAGAACAGTCATGGATAAAGTTCCAAAGTGAGGTTTTCTTCTCTTCAGTTTTCTGTGTTTCGCTCGTTCTGCCTGTTCCGGGATACTAAATTGACTTAATGGAAGGTAATAAGAATCTTCTGCTTCAGCAGAGAAGTCACTTTGGACCTACTTTCATCATTATTCAATCATTTAAAAGGCCACAGGGCAGTGGAGGGGCTACAGCTAGGGACCAGTTGCGGCATCTGAGGGCGCGTCCCCAGCTTCCTGATCCAGCAGAGGTGGAGAGCACACAGCCATAACAAAGGTCTTCCCAAAAATCAAATTAAAGACATTTTTGATAGATATTGAGTTCTAGATTAACAGATATTTCCCCCCTTCAATACTTTCATGATGTTATTTTACTGTGTTCTTATCTGCATAGTTTTTGGTGATAAATTTGCTTTTATGCTTACTTTTTCCCTCTGTACATATTGTTTTCCCCCTTCTGACTGAAGGTTTTATTCTTGACACTAGTTTCAAGTAATTTAATTATGATGTATCTTGGTTTGATTTTCTTCATGTTTCTTGTGCTTGGATTTCATTGTGTCTCTAAGCATCTGTGGATTTTCATCAAGTTTGAAAAAAAATGTCCACCATTTCTTCAAACATTTTTTTCTGTTCCCCCAGTCATGTCTTCTTCAGGGCCTCCAATTAAATGTATGTTGGGTCTTTGGAAGTTGTCCCACAACTTACTGATACTTTCGAATTTCATTTTTAAAAAAATTATTTTTTTACAATTTGAGTTTGGATAGTTTCTATTGCCATGTCTTTAAAATCACTAATCTTTTCCTCTGCAATGTCTAATCTTTTGTTAGTTTCATCTAGTTTATTTTTTCCTCTCAGAAATTGTTTTCCTGTCAAAAAACTTGAATTGAGTGCTTTTAAAATATATTTTTCAAGTCTCAACTTTGAAATCAGAAGGAAAATATGTGTATTAGCTATTTTAATGTTCTTTTCTGTTAATTCTTTTACGTGTGTCAATTCTGGACTGGTTTTGCTTGATTGACTTTTCTCCTCATTCCGGAGTGGGAGCGAGAGTACCCAAGGTGAATGTGACGTCTGCAGGTCTGCCTGGGAAGAAACAGCTGCCTGATTTTGAGTAGGCATAAAACTTCAACCCCAGGAGCCCAGTGAAATGACTTGGCTGCATCCAGTCCAGGCTCTACATGGCCATCTCCTGTTTTGCCCTTCCTGAATTATGAGGTGAAGATGCTCACCCAGGCAGCAAAGGACCCTGTATTGTCTTCAGAAGGGCACCACGCAGCCTCACCTGGGATATGTCAGACTATGATCACTGGAATGCAAATATCCACCTTGTCTCTTCTAAGATGTGCCCACAAACTCCACCCAGCTCAAATTCAGTCACCACAAATGGATAGGGAGCTAACTTTCTGTGACCTAATCCCAAGACCAAGGCACTATGTTTCCAAGTCTAGCTTGGCTCAAATATCTTTGCCTACTAGGGTTATTTTCCTGTTGTTGTGGTGAAATTGCTATTTTCAATAGCTGAGAGAAATTCAGACTTCATTTCTCTTAGTAGGAAATCCACTGTGAGGTAGGTGATTACCAGAAGTTGGTATTTTTTTTTAACTGTATAGATGGATCCCTGAAGAAATGATCATAAATAATAATATTTTAAAGAAATTAATCTGTGCCTACAGGATGCAATCAGTGGGGCAAATATCAGATAGATCTCTTGTCCATTTAAAATTTTATATATTTATAGCTTTGAGGCATAATACAAGTGGAGCAGGAACCTAGCCAGCAGCAAACAAACACACTTTCAAGAGGGAGATTTATTACTGCCTCTGGAAGTAAATCATAGCTGATATTCTGGGCTTAGTTTATTCTGAGCGTGTGATCTCACTCAATCAGATCACGCTAAATATAGACCTGGAGAGGAGTCATGGCAGAACATTGATAGAACCACAAGCTGCCACCTGGGTTTTTCATGTCTTTTTCAGAAAGCAGTGAATTCATCTCAGCATTCAGTTTCTTTTAAGATAAAGCAGGAGGATCATCCCTTGCTGATTCCTGGAGGGAAACACAAACTGCTATGAAAATATATTCACAGTTGTATTTAGACTTATAGAATTTTGGGACAAAATTTACTGTCTTTTTGCAAAATGTCCCTCTGCTCCACCATACCCTGTAACATTCCATCCCTTATAGGATTATTGGCCATGATTTTTCTGATGATGAGAAGCATTAATGATGACTCATTTTGCTGATATTTCTCTACATGCCCAGAAGGGTTTGTGTAATCTGTCTGGAAAGAAAGACCTTCTTAGAACTATAATGTTTATCAAAATATCAGAGAGATTTGGGTAATCTGGCTTAAACTTCCCTATCAGCCTCACTACCACCTTTGGAAAGAACGCAATGTAAAATCTCCAGGATGGTTAAAAATTCATCCTAGTAATCAGGTTGTTTGGTGAACAAGTCCCCACAACCTCTCTCACAATCATTCCTTTTAGGGCTACTCACATGGTGGGTGTTCAATTCAACAAGTACTTGAAAAAAAAAAAAAGGGAAAGGAAGAGTGGCCAGAAAGCAGAATATACACATGTACACTAGCAGCTTACTCCCAGCCTAGGCTGTCTGTCCTGCACAAATGACCTGAATGACACCACGTGTATCTTTTCACTTTCAGAGCTTCCCTGATGGCCTGATGGATGGTAAAGAATCCACCTTCTATGTAGGAGACACAGAAGATGCAGATTCAATCCTTGGTTTGGGAAGATCCCCTGGAGAAGGAAGTGGCAACCTACTCCAGCATTCTTGCCTGAAAAATCCCATGAATGGAGGAGCCTGAATGGGCTACAGTCCAAAGGGCTACAGAGAGTTGGACATGACTGAGAAACTAAACATACATATCTTTTCACCAACTTTCATGACCTGCCAGCAAATGTGCTTCCAAGCGTGACAACCTGAGGCATCGTTTCACTCGAGCTGTGCCTTCACTTCTCTTCCTGGATGCACTTCTGCATGTGACTTTTTGGTTATCAGATCCTCTCATGGTGATAGATGACCTCAGAAGCTAAAATGTGAAAGGACAAATCTCACTGGGAGGGGGAGATGGTCACTATATCTTTTACTATAACTATCATCCTTGACTTGCGGTCCCTGAACATGTTTTTTCCCCCCACCTTTCATCAGTTTAGTTCATTTCAGTTCAGTCACTCAGT